ACTCTTGATAATCTCCTACCTCTTTTGTCTGTAACTCACTATTATTTGTGTAATTGTTTTCCTGAGAAACTATTTTGTAGACAATAATATGTAAAATGATAACCATTGATAATTTCCTACCATTTTGTCTGTAATTTGCTAAGTCCCCCCTATTATTATGTTATCCTTCTTTTATTCTTTAAAATAAAAAAAAAAAAGAAATGTATTCTAACAGTTAAGGAAAATCAGATACTTCTACCGGTCTCATGGTTTTCAGTTATTTTGCTGTCAACAATCTTAAGCAAAATCTAATTATCTACTCACTGTTAAAACATAAGAATATTATTAAATTACAAAGTCATTATGGCAAGAAACTCAGGGATCATTCAAAAAACTGAGTAAACATTGCCTAATAAAAGTACTCCCTTAGCACTTATTTCTGTGAATGAAATTTCCTGAGGCTTCCAACTAGAAAAAATGATAAATATGGATAGCATTGATGCTGACCTTCGTCACATTCTAGTAATACTATTCATCGAATGTGTAGTGATAATTACATATTTATCACAGTTATGTAAACTAAACTTTTAAAGCCTCAGCTAAGAGGTAAGTACAGTGTTGATCAGTGTTTTAACATTTTTAATTAATTATGCGCTATATATGAATAACTAGTCTTATGGTCAAGGTCTATGATTTAATGTTTGTTTTTGTCACAGAAAAATCTGTAGCGTCTTATGTATGTAGCACATATATTAAGAACATATCTGTATAAAACATGAGCATAGAAATCTTTGAGGGCAGTGGAATTCAAAAGTTCAAGGAGAAAAGGACTTATGAGAAAATTATTCATTTAAAAGTTTGCTCATGAAGTTTTAAAATAAGCGGATGCTGTCGGTCAAATCCCTATGGTATTTAGATTCCACTGTACACATTGAAAGTGTTGTATGGACGTTTTATTTTTAAATGTCAATATTCACAAACCATAGGTTATAGTCTTTAAAAGCATATAAACACAATTAAAGATTTTCACTTTAAAATGTGCCAGAACTTTTTAAACTTATTCTCAGAGGAATGTGAGCAAACCCATGTGCGTGCGGGTCACGGGGACCTCTGAGCCCAGCCCCCACGTTCCGCTCCCCGCAGGCGCCCCGTGCTCTGCACACGGTGGCGCTGTCCACACGGCAGTGTCTGCGGCGTGATGAATTGCCGCAGCCAGATGACGTCTAAACCATTTCCTGTGTTTCATTTGCAATCAACGTATTAAATAAACAGTTTACATTTCCTTCGCATTAGAACAATAAATGTCCACTGTGACTTACCGCTGCTGAATTTCAGCATGTTTCGTTCAATTTTTGGATCATGTAGCAAATAAACTGAAGCTATAAATAGCCAGGACTCTGTAAATCTCACCCACCTGGGAAGAGCGCAGACAATAAATTCGTTTTTTATATTCCTCTCTGCTTTCCTCTTTCCCAGTGCTTGCACAAACTCTGCCCACCCCAAACACCACCCCCGTCCCGTCGCTAGGCAACTGAAAGAGCTTTGTTGTTCCTGAACACTAACCATTAACTTGCCCTCATTTTCTCTAATGAGATCATGGCTGCAGCCCAAATTACCTTTTTTCTAAAAAACAGAGCAGGATGCTTATGATTTATGCTGATTGTAAGGCAAATCGGATCCCAACAGATAAATGCAGGAAAAGGAAACCGAATGCTTAAGCAACTCTGACCTAGAACCCAAAATCTGTACAAATGACGCATTTGCCTTATCAAAAAGATGATTTTTACTGAGCACTTATTATCTACTAGGCACTCTGCCTGGTATTTCACATTTATTATTTCTTTTAATCCTCAAAATGTTATTTCGTTTATATTGTACCCCATTTTTGGAAGGATTTTCTATCTCGCAAAAGGACTTTGAAAGGTTCAGTTGTGTGAAATAAAGGCGCATTATTGTTTTAAGAAAGGGGAAATTAAAACTAGAATAGCCATTCATTAAACCATTCTTAGGCAAATTTAATTTTTATTTCAATTTTTACTTTAATCTGACAGAGTGGAAAGCTGATGTCCAGAGAAGTGAAGAGATTTGCCTAATTCATTGAGCTAGGAAGTGGCAGGATCTAGGTTCTGACAGCCTCTCCCACGTTATAACACATTCCTCTCACTGATGCTGGGCTCAGAATGTAGTGAAAGCATGATCTCACTCCATCATTGTCCAATGTGCAAATGTAGGGCGAGAACTTGCACACTGAAACACCGCCAGGCTCTTCTCTGGGCAGGAAGGGAGTATGTGGACTCTGTACGGGTGAAGTCAGACTGACTGGAGTTTAAATCTTGCTTTGCCACTTGCATAATGTGAGAAAGTCACTGCCTCACTTTCAGCCTCAGTTTCCCGTCTGTAAAAGTGAAAACATATAGTGTCTTCCTCATAGGGATGATTTGAAGATTGCACCTTCAGTGGAGTAAGTTATATTCCTGTAATGAACAGACTTCAAAATGTATAAAGGTTCAAACCTTTAGGTAAGTTTCCCTCACACTCATATTGCAGCTAAAGGTGACAGCATGACAGGCTAATGGCAGTTCTGCCATCTTTAATACATGGCTCCAAGGGCACCTGAGTCACCATTTTCCCCCAGGTGAGCAGGAGGCAGAAAAGAGGAGGAGGAGCTTGTTTGGGAGCCTTTTAAAAGTCAGACCTGTAGGGAAGGCCCATGACTTCCATTCACATTTTACTGCATGGAACTCAGACATAGATACAGCTATCTGCAAAGAGGCTGGGAGGTGCAAGTGGCCGAATGTCCAGGAGAAATAAGGACCCAGAATGTGGAGAACACTTAGTAATCTCCACCAAGGGTCATGTGTCCATAACTGCTTCTCACTGTGTGCGTAGAAAGAGTTCAATGGCATTAGCTTCCTTTTTTTTTCCTTTCTCATTTTTTTCTTCTTCTTCCTATCATCCATTTTTCTCTATAAATTTTTTTTTTCTTTTTGAGACAGGGTCTCCCTATGCAGTTCAGGCTGGCCTTGAGCTCACTTTGTAGCCCAGGCTGGTCTCAAATTCTCAATGATCCTCCTGCCTCAGCCTCCCGAGTGCTGGGATTATAGGTGTGTGCCACCATATGCAGCCTCTATAGATGCTTTTCACAAAAGGTCTGACCACTGATCACAATGTGAAAACTGACATTAGAACAGAAAAATAGAAGTGAGATGATTTTTATTGTTAATCTCACACAATAAGCCTTAGTTACATTATTATTTTATTATAATTTCTTCCTAAATTGTCATTGGCAACTGAACAACTGACTTACTAAGCCACAACGCAGAGATATAATCAAAACAATACCAGATTTTCCAAGCTTTGCTTTGTAAATATACTAGAATATCATAAATTCTCTGACTTGGAGGAGCCTCTCAAGGTCAATTTGTCAAATTTCCTTAGGAATACTTTCCAATCCAGAAATGGAAATGTTGTTAAGCCTTAAAAGGTAAGAACAGCACAAAGTGTGTTGGCTGAAGGTGTCCCACGCCCCCCAATTTCCGTCTGCCTGCCTTATTAAGCAGTGTCCTGTGAAGCAGGCTGCCCTTCAGGGCATCTTCCAATCACTGCTGAGACTGCAGTTTGGAGGGTCAGGTTTCAAGAAATCCAGGCAAAGTCATTTATGAGCTCTGCAAGAGTGGAAATTCCATACAGTTTCTGACTTATAAAAAGTAAAGTAATACTTTTTAAAAACTCTATCTTCTCTACTCAAACTTGTTTTCTTAAAACATAACCTTACGCTATGGTTCCTCTCTGAAGGGAAGTATTTTTAAAGGTCTCCTCTGGAAGTGAAAAAGTTGTTCAAGCTCAGACTGTTGGCCTATGTCAGCAACTTCTCGCCCACGCTGTTTGTCAGCAGGCTCTTGGTGCTGTAGGCCTTACTGACGGCCACCTGCCTTTGTTCAAACCTCACTTGAACAAGAAATGGAGAGTGATTTTGCCAGTTACAGTTTAGATCTAATTAGTATTGAAATTATTGAAATGAAGAACTCAGTTGTTTTATGCCAGAGCCTAGTTATTCCCCAGTTATAAGACCATACTGTTCTGTAGGTGGAAGGATGATTGGAGTTGTAGTCTTAGCTCTGCCATTTACTTGCTGTGTGACCTCAGTTTCCTTCTCTGTGAAATGGGCATAACATGTCACGGAATGGTTGTTAAGAAAGTACAACAGATTCATGATAATAGCTCATGTGTACTTATCTGAGCCTTGCACTAGCCATGTGATATCCTTCACTGTGCTTGAGACTTTATGCTTTAGGTTCTGTCATTTACAGCAGTTGCATCCACCCTAAAACCGTCAACGAGTAAAAACCAAATATATTAGCTACATGATATTGTCTTTATGTCCTACTATCCCCACCCTAAAGGCAGAAAAGCACACAGTAGAGGCAATCAACCAGGAAAGTACGAACACGGTCCTCCATTTCAGTAACAAATCACGTACGCCCACTGAGCCCGGATGAACCCGGGTGTACACTGGAGACGATAATAATCACCAGAGGTTTTGTCAGCACTGGATGATGTCGTAGCGGAGCACACAGCACATTACCAGCCTCCATAACGATCACGCTGCCCCAGCATGCCAGCCAGGCGGGGAGGAGTAGTCTACCGGCTGGTCACAACGCCGAGCTAGTAGGCGGAGCTAGTGACAGCAGGACAGTTCTGAGGCTCAGGCTCTCCTCCCTGTCCCGGGGTTACCGCTCTCATCCTTATTTGCAGAGCAGTCCTTCAAGACAGCCCTTCAAGTCCTTCAAGTCCTTCAAGACTCCAAGACCATCAGAGCGCCATTTCCCCTCATCTTCCTCTGGGTTTGATCAGATTTCCAGGCCCTTCCATTCTCCCTTTTGACCTAGGACAAGTCTATGTTCCCTTAAAGGTGTTTGTGTTACTTCACTGACTTAATCCTAAGAGACCAGCATTATTTTCCTTTTTCTATATTGTAGAGCACACTTCCAAGTTCTCATACTTTACTCTCAGCTCCAAGAATTAATGACAGATACTAAACTCGAATCTTACATTGCTTATCAGTAGGAGGAAACCCAGACAAAAAATGTGTCCACGGGCCGGCTTATCCATCCCACGGAGTAAAAAACATCACAGATCTGTCACTAGAGAAACTGTGTGTGTTGCTACAGATTGGCCCCTGTGAGCTTTCTGAACCAGTCCCGGCAATGACGCCATTTATGTGACTCTACAACCCTTCAGCATGAGGGAGCACGTAGGTCTGCCGTGTGCTGCCCTTTTTCCCGATGAGCTGAGGATCTTGGGATCTGCTGGACAAGCAGAAAGGCAATCTCTAAGGGGCTAATACCCGTCACTGAGGTTGCTGCCACTGTGAGCAGGATGTGCCAGGGTCTGAAAGACTTCCCTGTTCCTAAATCCCATTGCTAGACCCTTGGGATCCCACAGTTACACAGTAGCCTGAGCTGTAGGTCAGGAAGATTAAATCACTTATTAGGTAAAGGTTAAATTGCCCTAGAAATATCGCTTTGCTGTTTAAGTATTTCAACTTTGCCTTGTTCTCATATCTCTTGCAATGGATTAAATAGTACAATCGATAGGCACGACGATTATTCACTAAGGCAACCTTGCTCTTATTTTGTAATTTTAAGTATCAAGTAAAACCCCTTTCATTTCACAGTGACCGGGTCCAGTTACTGTGGCCTTAACCAAATTTCCAGGTCTGTGAAAATCTTCCATAACACATAAACTTGCACTCTTGTGCACTATCTTTTATTTGACTAAACTGGCACTACTTAGCTTTAGCTGTGTGACTGCTCCACTGCGCCTGTCCTGGAATAAGTTCAACATTTATTTTACTGCAAAATACTACAAACCACACTTCATTCACAGTGATATTCAACTAGCACTTTAATTCTAATGCCTGGCACCTCTAAACTAGCACCTCTAAACTCCCGGTCTAATGTTTTTCAATATTTGAGGCAGAAGGGAAGGTAGGAGTTATTTAAACTAAGATAGGATAGAAGAAATAAAAGATAGGTAACAGGAGTTGAGGAAATCATAACTGAAAGTTGTATTTTTAAGAAGGCTGCAACATTTGGGCCTCAGTCACAGTTACGGAAGGTGAGTCATGAAAGTGTCCCCTGGGTGAAATGTAGGCTCCTTTCCTTTAAGACTGGTCACACTCAAAATTTCTCAGTAATAGTAAAAGTCTATAAATTGGCTTAACTGAGAAAGTAAGGAGCAGGAACCAGGTCCTAAGATAAAGGAGAGGTTGACAGCATCCAAAAATTGTTTAAATTACCTATTCCAACCCTCTCTGAAAAAAAACTGGCCCCCTACCTGTGGAATAGGCTACTGTCCTTTTTCCTGAGGTTTCTATCCCCTTAAGAGAAGCACACATGTTCCTCTTCCAGTAAATAAATTCCTCTCTCGAGGTCTGCACTCTGTTCCTTTGCATGTGCACCTTTTAATTTCTGCCTAATAACCC